GGTTCAAGGAGGGTACTCTACCTGTCAGATACCTAGGACTTCCTCTGATGTCTGGTAAGCTCTCTTCTACAGAAGTTGATATACTGGTGGACAAGATAACAAAAAGAATCAAATCATGGCGCGCCAAGAAACTCACATATGCTGGTCGGCTGCAACTTATTAACTCAGTTTTACTTGGAGTGGTTCAGTATTGGATGCAGCTTTTTGTTCTTCCCAAGAAGGCATTAAAGAAGATCCAGTAGGTTTGCTCTCAATTTCTATGGCATGGAGATACTATGGGTAGGGCAGAGGTAGCATGGGACTCTGTGGCTCTGCCTAAGAAGGAAGGAGGACTTGGATTGAGGGATTTGGTTGCCTGGAATCAAGCCTGTGCTGCTCGACTGCTCTGGCTGTTTCTTATGAAGGCTGGGGCCTTGTGGGTGGCATGGATGGTAGCATATAAGTGTAAGGATGGCGATTTTTGGTCAATGTAAGTGCAGTATAGTAGTTCCTGGGTTTGGAGGAGGCTGCTGAAGCTGCGTGATGTTATTGCGCCATGGATGAAACAGCAGGATGGGTTTGTATTCTGGGAATTGCAGGAAATGCAAGACTATTCAGTTAAGAGAGTTTGGGAAACTTTGCGCAAGAAGGGGGCTAAAGTTTGTTGGTATAAGCTCATCTGGAGCAAATGTTGTCCTCCTCGGTTTAGTTTGATTGCTTGGCTGATAATGCGAAATGCTATCACCACTCGAGCCAAGTTGATGAAATGGGGAAGAATTCAGGATGCTGCCTGTCCATTGTGTGGCACTAGAGTAGAAGATCGTGAACATCTTTTCCTCTACTGCAAATTCTCTCGAAGGCTCTATGAGCAGTTTCATGTCCCTCGTCAGAATTTTCAGACTTGGGATGAGATGATCCAGTTTATCATAGGAGTTGTTAGCAGAGGGCCTCATGGACAGTGGCATGCGCTGCTGTGGTGTATTGCAGTATCGTATATCTGGAAGGAGCGATGTCGAGTGGTACATGGAGACTTATGTCGGTCCCCAGAAATTGTTGCTGATCTTATTCGAGCTGACTTACTGTTCATATCTCACGGGGATAGAGGGGTTCGGGATAGTCTTGTTCATCTTGGTTACTTATAGGCTTATTTTGAAAATGTAAGTAGTAGTTTTGAGTGCAGGCGAGTTTTTCTTAGTTTCTCAGCTAGTTGAGTGCTTTTTTCGGGAGTCATTCCCTCTTCGTTGTACTGGTTACTTTTCATTGAGAAATAAAGCAACTGATTCAACGAAAAAAAAAATCTATCCATGAAATCTGGTATATAAAACATTATGTGCCTATCATTATAGAACAATATGTATTTACTGCTAAAACAATATATCTTCATGATTCAGGATTAGACATAATAATAGGAAATAATTTTCTTAAACTATATCAGCCATTTACTCAAAGAATTAAGAGTATAAGTCTAAAAGCTCCAAAAATGAAAAATCAAGTCAAAGATTGTTACCACCAAGATAATAACAAAAAAAGAAGTATTAAGGACCGTCTTACAAAGACTTAAAAATAAGCTTGAATATATCCAAGTATCCTACGGAATAATTGAAGAAAAACTAGAGGAGATCTGTAGTGAACATCCTCTAGATAGTATAAAAAATACAAATTCAGAATTAATAGAAATTAAACTAAAGGATCCAAATGCCGAAGTTAATGTTCCTAATAAAATACAATATACTCAAAGAGATGTAGAAGAATTTCTAGAAGAATGTGGAGATTTACTCAGTAAAAATATTATTCGAGAAAGTAAAAGTCCGCATAGTGCTCCGGCATTCTATGTAGAAAATAATAATGAAATTAAAAGGGGGAAAAGACGTTTGGTAATAAAGTACAAAAAACTCAATGAACACACTATAGGAGACGGTTATAAATTACCAAGAAAAGATTATATTTTGGAACGATTGAAAGGACAAACTTGGTTCAGTAGCCTAGACGCAAAATCAGGATATTGGCAATTAAGGCTTCATGAAAATACAAAACCCTTAATAGCCTTTTCATGTCCACCACAAAAACATTATGAATGGAATGTTTTACCATTTGGAATTAAGCAAGCCCCAGGAATCTATCAGAGATTTATGGATAAAAATCTAGAAGGATTGGAAGATTTTTGTTTAGCCTACATTGATGACATTATTATCTTTTCAAATAAAGATAGGATAGATCATGAAGAAAAACTAATAAAAGTTTTGGGAAGACTAAAAGAAAAAGGACTGGTGATTTCAAAAAAGAAATCTAAATTGTTAGTTAATGAAATTGAGTATTTGGGAATGAAAATAAATAGTACAGGAGAAATAGAACTAACCACTAATGTTAAGGAAAAATTAGATAAATTTCCAGATAAAATGGAAAATAGAAAACAAATACAACGATTTTTAGGAAGTCTGAATTATATCAGTGAACAAGGATTTCTAAAAAATCTAGCAAAGGAAAGAAAATATCTTCAGCAAAAAATATCAGATAAAATACCTTGGAAATGGGATGATAAGGACACAGAGGTGGTAAGATTTATGAAGGCCAGTTGTGATCATTTACCAAAATTATATAACCCATGCGATCGAGATTTTCTTATTGTTGAGACAGATGCATCAAGGGATACATGGGCAGGTTGCATGCTTGCAATACCAGAAGGCAAAAAATTACTATCACTTGATCACTATGGCAATATAATCAGCAACGAATCAAATGATTCACCCTATATCAGTAATGAATCGAACGATTCACCACTATCCCGATGCAGTAATGAATCGAATGATTCAAAACAATATGATTATACAATACCATTCAATACAGACAAATATACAAAAAAAAGTTATGTAAATATATATCTGAAACATTCTCTTCCACTGAGAGAAACTACCCAATACATGAGCTAGAGACACTAGCCTGCCTCAGAACACTGAAAAAATGGAAACTAGAATTACTAACCAGTCGATTTGAATTACGAACCGACTCTAAATATGTTACAGGTTTTTGGAGATACAAACTGGATGCGAACTTCAATAAAGGAAGGCTCATTCATTGGCAACAACAACTTCACTATTATCGACCATATCTGAAGTATACCAAGTCAACAGCAAATCCACTAGCAGACACCCTTACACGAGAATGGAAGGAATAATCAAGCAAATGCAGCATCAACAATAGCAGAAGGAAGAACAGATACGTGCCCTCGAAGTCCAGCTTTCTCAGCGGCGGGGGGAATTGGAGCAAATAAAGACCACCATCACCATTCTGCAAACGCAACTTAAAAGCACTACTCAAACACAACTGTTCTGCAACAACAAGCTATTCAGTCATCACCAGAGAAAAATATGTCATCTACAAAATGGTAAGACATGGTAGAAGAAGACGAGAAAAACGAAGAAGACGAAAGAAAATCAAAGAAAGGAAAATGGTATGTCATTTACGATGGACCTTTTCGAGGACTCTATAACAACTGGGCAATAGTATCTCATCATGTTACGGGATACGACATCAAACACCAATCATTTTCAACCAAAGAAGAAGCAGAGCAGGCATTAAGAGAATCATACAAGGCAATTGATATGAAACAGAAGACAGAATCAGCCACTCCACAACAAAGATTAGTGATGAAGATACCAAGCATCAGCATTAAGGATATTCCAACCACGAAGCAAAAGGAAGAATTCAATAGACCTACACTTCAAAAATTCCAACAATGCTGGGAAGATCTTCTCAATTACAAGGAAATTCACACTACCATGGGCTTCTACCCTACCTTCAAGGGAGGACCGAGAGCAGTCATCATCACAGATAAAATGGCACCAACAACACTGTTCGCTCTCCATCAATACGGATTAATCGACACAGTATACACACAGAAGGCCCATATCTTCGAAGAATTCCCAACAAAGTTCAAGACAGTCGTAAAAAGGTATCTAGACTCATTCGCCAAGGGTAGAGAAATCTATCTGCGATACACATCCAGCTATCCGGTATTCAACAATGAAGAAATGGTCGTGCCATCAAAAGCAATCATCAAAATTGGAGTATCTAATGGCAACTATCCAACCAGAGAAGAATTAGAGACAGCTAGGATACCCGAGGACTATCAAGTTAGATCATTATATTCAGTAAGTCAGGCCCTATATTATCTTAACCCAACAGATAATATTAAAGTCAATTATACCAGCACCAACAAGATCATCATAAGCAATTCTAAAAACCAGATCACAGCAGAAGAATGGGGATTCATCACAGATCTAGCCAAGGATTTTATCAATCCAGAAGGAACGTTAGCCCCGCTAACGTCAGAACAAAAGAAACAACTTTGTGAATTATTGCAGCTACACGAGGATCACATATGCACCCACTGTGCAGCAGATATGACTACCTCCACTAATAGCAGTAATGGAATCAAAGAAATGTAATCCACCAAGGACAAGAAAACAAAGCATCAAGAATCAAAAGGCAACATCAAATAAAGAAAAGAAGACAATGCATTATGCATCAGGCAAAGGCAACATAAAAGAAGAAAATGAATAAAGGAGAAGATGACAAGGACAACACATCAACAAGAAAAGGACTAAAGTAAAAGAAGTGTGCCTGTTTTTCTTTTTTGATCAATAATGTAGTCCATAGGACAATAACGTGTGTTTCTCTTAAGTGGAAAATGATGTAAGTACATATGTAAGCAGGTAACGCTCCTGCATCTATAAATATGTACATCTGAACCTCATAAGGGGGCAGAGTAGAATAAAAGTTTGAGATTTCTCTCTCAAAAGACTAAGTGAAGTCTTGGTGCTTCGGCACAGAGCGTTTGAGATAATACTCTGGAGACGCTCGTATCCACTACCACCTATCCATAAAAAACCATACACCAACCATTAAAGGATTCTCCAACACCATTTCAACGATCATAAGCAATCAGCCTCCTTCGCACTACACCATCATGGGGATGTTCAATAGCAAGAAGTTGCATCAATCAACCTAAGCAACAATCAGGTATGACGAATAACCCCAGTAGCAGTAACAGTTACTTTGATTATTTAAGTAAAAATGAGGAAGAAAATGGTTTTCTAGATGGAATATTAGATGTCAAGAAAATTAAGGAACAAACTAATTTTACCTTATCAGAAACGCAAAATTTTATTACTAAGTCTTTTTTAACCAAACTATTTGATAGGAAAAATATAATTAAATATGGAAAAATGATAGGAGAAACGGCAGTACCAATAGAGCAAACTAAGGGAGATTTCCTAATTCAAATAATAAACAGGGAACAAATTAGGAAAAAATTATCCAAGTTACAACAGGAAGAAAGAAGTAAAATAGCTTACATTCACATTAGCACGATACAAATCATTCTAAAATCTATTACGAAAACAGGGATAAGTGCACCTATAGAACTAGAAATAAGAGATGATCGACTCATCAATAGAGAAGAGAGTATTATTGCAAAAGGAAAGGGAAATCTAGGAGTAGGAATAATCAAATTCGATATTAATTTACAACAAGGAATTAGTTTAACAGATGGGAATCTCGACTCTTCCATTATTATAAAGTATGAATTAAAAAGAAAATAGTAAACCTTTTTCAGTAACATACCAGATAAACTATGCACTAACCAATAGTCATCATAGTCTAGCATTTAGAGACAAGGAAGCCATCACCATAGAAGATTTATTCAAACCATTAATTCTATTAGAATCCCCTCTAAAAGTAATAAAATCGAATTATGATCATCCAAGAATAAGTGTAGACGAGAGAGTCTCTTCCATGAGACTAACCGATAAGGAGAAGGAAAAGGAGAAAGAAGAAAACAAGGAAATAAAAAACATAACTATACTTCATCAAAATGATAATACTAGCGAAATAAAAAAGTTACAAGAACTAATCATAGAAATGAGTGAAAAATTGTAAAAGATGCTTAACGTTCAGTACATAAATAAATTGATAGATGGAATAGATGCAATAGACCTTACATCAGTAGACGACATTAATACAGTAACATTAGAATTATCTCACTTCGTATCAGATATTGTAGAAGAACAGATGTCTATCAGAAATTCAGAAACATTAGAAGAAGCCGTATCTAAAACTGAATTAATCACCGATATAATAACTAGTCTAAACAAAATAAAAAGAAACTAGAAAATAGATAAACCAAAAACAACAAAATGAAAATTAACCACCTTTATTTGGGCCATTCCATGAAAGAAAAAGAAAGAATGAGACTTGTTGCAGAAAACAAGGAAAAGAAGGAATGATTAGACTCTTTAGTAGACTTTTGAAAATAAAGAGACGATTGAGATTTTTGAAAACCTTTTGATATGAAACAAAGAAATTTAGGAATTTGGAACCGTAGATTTTTTGGTATCAGAGCCAACCGAACCATGCAAAATAGCCATAAACCAACATTAAAGAAAAAGAATATGAAAAAAGAAAATTACCAAAAGGGACAACTTAATTGGATCGAAAAAATCCAATGGATCCATTCGGCCTCCCCTACCACCAATAGATCCATTCGCACACGCTGCCGCCTCGACTTTCTCCCCACCTAATGCTTTTGTAAAAAACAAGATGGGTATATCTCCCTGCCCTCGTAATCGACCTCGCAGCATGTTCTTTGCTTGTATGGGTTTTAATTTATTTACTGGTTCTTTAGACGATGAAAGTGGTAGCAGCGCCGAGATCGGTGGCAGAATGAATGCCCAAAAACTATGGTTCTTTACTAACAAAATTTTTTACGGTAACAGAATGAATGCCCAAACATTGATTAGTTATAATACGTTTGGATAATAAATATAATTTTGATAGGTTTGGATAAAATAAAAGAATTTTGAAAAGATTTGGGTAAAAATAGACATTGCCCTTTTTTATTAATCTACGTGGCAGTCTTGTTGACACAATATTTTTCCAAGTAAACATTTTCATTTGTCCAGTCATCTTGTTAGATGACACCGTTAAAGTATTAGACGGAAGTGGCTATAAGTGGTATTTCTTTAAATTTGGCTATTATTGGCATAAGCGTGAAAGTTTTCGCTATACAAGTGTATTTTGCCTAAATTCTAACCGAATACATTCATGGCTTATCTCGTGAATCAACAATTAATTGATGTGCGTAATTGAATGGTGTGGATACTATAGTTTCATTCCGGATTTCCATTTCATCATATGCTCGTAAACTCGTTTAATTTCTTGACACGCACACAACAATAAAAATGTAAAAGAAGGTAATATCTATTTTTTATTCAAACCTTTTTCAGATTCTTTTATATTAGCCAAACCTATCGAAATACTAAGAATTAGCCAAATGTTAACTCCAAGTTAACAATTTTGTTAGTAATATTGACTTGGGAACATGATACTAACTTGGAATAGACATATGAAGGTCAACATTTCAAAATTTTAGTATTTTAACTAAGAAAAGAGTTACAATTATGAAAGATTTGGCGAATTAATAGAATTTTAATAGGTTTGGATAATATAAAAGAATCTGAAAAATGTTTGGATAAAAAATAGACATTACCCAAAAAAAATATCAAATTTCATTTCATTCTTAAAATGCGTTACAAGTTGTTCAACAGTTAGGGGAAAAAAAGAAAAATTAAAGCAGCAGCACAACCTTCTGCGAACATAATAAGATCAATACATAGAATTGCTGAAAGGATAAATGAGAGATCAATACATAGAAATATTGCCTATGTTTGGTCCGGCTTTTATAAGTAAAAGTTCGGCTTTTGAAAAGCCGAAAAAGTGTTTTTGTATAACATAAAAGCATATGCTCCGATTTGGAGTTTCTGGAAAAGCTGTTTTGAAATAACAAGATTATACTTACCATATTTTAATTTTATTTCAGAAAATATAATTTTATTTCATTTATATCATTTTAAAAATAAAATAAAGTATAAAATCATATTATTTAATATAAAAGAAGTCTAACAAGATCCATTTTTACTACATTTTATTGTTTAAAATTATTATTCATAGTTTATATTATAAGTCCTTTATAGTCATTTTACACAACCTCTTGTATTAAAAAAACACTTTTAATTAATTTTCAACCAAACACTCAACTGCATTTTTTGAAAAGTACTTCTCTAAAAGCTCAAGCTAGAAGCTGCTTCTACACTACAGCAGGGTCAAACTGAGCCTATGTATCTCTGCAAATTATGTTTCTCCATTGGCCGGCCGGCTGCCAGACTGGTAATTGTATAAGATCGTACTATATATTTGACATGTGATAATTTTACTTGCTATCTTTAGGGTGAGGGGTGGACGGCTACAGATACGGTCAATAATTCTGGTTATCAACCAATGAGTATCCAAATCTCAGCTATAATATTTAAGTCGGCTTAGAAAATTCAGATTTAAGGGTGGAGAATTAAAGATATTTTTTTTAATCGGTTCATATCTTCTTCGTTTTAACTCCGACTTCAATTTTTGTTTTCATAGATGGAACGAGTTTGTTGTGCTCTACAAAATGAGATCCATTTTCAATATTTTTTGAGAAATTTTTTTTTTGCTTCTCGTTACCAACTCCATACTATATGAAATCTCGTCATTTATAAGTCGTTTTTGAAATGTTTTGCAGATAATGAATAAGTTCATCATGATCTATTGGATCTACAAATTTCTGGGTGAACAAAATACAGGACAAAAAAATATCATACAATACCACCCTGGTATAAGGTGGTATCTTGTGGTACACAATGTTGAAAGTAGCAAATGACAGTTAGTATACTCCTACTATCATGTATTCAATCATCCTACAGTTTTGGTATGTTCATACCACCATGGTAAGCTTTTTCATACCATATGGTATGCTCTTTTTTAATACCAGTCAATACCATATGGTATATACTGGTAAAAAATGACTCAATTTTTTTGTTCCAAAAATATATCAAAGTGGATATCATTTTAAAGAGCACAATTAATCTGATCTAACTGTGTAAAAAAAATTAAATTCCGACTTAAAACAAGTGAGAAATTGTCTGTTAAAGATTAAGAGGGAAAAAAATTAAAAGCTTTCCAAGAGAGAGAAAGGGCACTAATGTGGCGGATGATGATTGGGTTATGGTTACTCATCACAAGGTTATGCATAGGATCCGTTCCCGGGGGTGTACGTGTACGAAGTCTATTATTTGCCCGAGTATTGTCGAAAATGAATTGGAGAACGGGTTGGATCCTCTTATTAAGTAAAGACTTGAGATTTCTTTAAATTTATTTCGATCAATAGGAAAATAAGAGAAAAAAAGGGAGGAGAACGGAAATTTTGCTCCGGAAAAATAGGAGTGCGACGGAAAATTTGCGGCAATTGTATTAGGGTTTTCACGGGCCATGCCGGCGGTGACTGCACCGCTGGCCGAGGGAGGGGCAGCGGACAGCCCTATGATGCCGGAAGCTGTATCGGGCCACCGAAGACAGCCTCCAGAGTCATCTTCACCAAACCCTAAGGCTGAAAGGGAAGCGTAGCAAACAAAGAAGCGAGCGAAGCAAGCTATTCCGGTTATGGAGGAGGAGGGAGATATTAACCTGGACGAAGCGGGGCAGGCAAGCCAGCACCACACTCAGACTCCGAGTCCTCGTCCTTCAGTCTGGGGATCGGGCTCCGGGGCAGCGAGGAAACTTTTTGGTGACTCTCCACGTATGAGTACATGGTATATAGCGGACTCGGACTCCGAAGACATTGCAGAAGCCATGAGAAAAGAAGGCAGTGATGCCGGGTTCGAGGGGGATGACGATCCCAAATGCCCGTCGATTTACTTCACGTTGGCGGAGGAAAGGATGTTTAGCCGGGAATGGCGCTCTGCTCTCGTAGTCAAAGCCCTAGGGAGGTCCGTCTCGTACACCCTCATGGCTAAACGCCTAACGAGCCTTTGGGCTAGGGTGAATACAATCCAAGTGATGTCAGCTAAGAATGGATACTTCCTGGTTAGATTTAGCAGCGGGATCGATTATGAACGGGCGGTGACAGGTGGCCCGTGGATGGTGGGCGACAACTATCTGACTGTGCATCCGTGGACAAGTGACTTTAACCCCTATGAACACGAGATCTCTTCTACCCTGGTATGGGCGCGGCTATTAGAGATCCCCATTCATTATTTTCATCCTGTGGCTGTGATGAGGATAGGGCAGCGCATTGGGAAGCCTATTCGGGTGGACCAAGCAACGAGTACGGGGGCCCGGAGCGACTATGCTCGGGTTTGCGTTCAGGTTGATCTCACCAAGCCCCTACTCTCGAAGTTCTCGTTGCATGGAAAGAAGTATTTCATACAATACGAAGTTCTTGAGAATATCTGTTTGAAGTGTGGGAAGTACGTGACAAGAGGATGCTGTTCATGCATGGCCCAACCAACGGAGGCGGAGGCTCCTTCGAACACGAGCAATGTTGATAAACAGTCGGAGGAGCCAGATGCCCTTTATGGGGATTGGATGATAGCGCAGAGGCGGCCCCGACCGAAGAAGGAAAACGGGAACCGAGATATAGCGACGGGGAAGTCCAATGTGGGCAATGGCAGGACACAGAAGGAGGGGCCAGCTGGTTCCCGATATAATGTCCTTGTTGTTGATGAAATGGAGGAAGACACTGGGACAGGCAACACACAGGGGGAGGGTAGTGTCGAGAATAATTCAGCGAGTGTGGTGAAAGAGAAGGACTCAAAGGGCAAACAATCGGTAATTAAAAGTAAGGGTACTAAGTCGGTAGGAAGTAACTCCGAGAAGGCTGGGAAGAGTGCGGAGACGAATTCGAAGGTTGACACGGCGAAGAAGACAATACAAGTGAGAGAATCAGTGCTGCTGACCCAGCCTTTGGAGAAGAACCTCAATGCTCCGGCTACAGCACCCCCATTGAAGACGTCGCAGCCAGTGACATTGCCGAATCAGCCGAGGAATACTGTTGATGGGGTCCAACCTATGGAACCCAGTGCCATCCAAGGACACCAGGTCCGGCCACCTGATCTCCAAAACAAGCTTTTGGGCAGTCCGGAGATTCCATCCCTAGGAGAGACGACCGAGATTGTTACGCAGGGCCTCGTGAATGAGGCCTTCGCAGCGTGATTTTCGCCTGTGTTATTCAACCTGCAATCCATTGTTAATGATGAATATATTTACGTGGAATTGTAGGGGTGCGGGAAGCAAACGCTTCCTCAGAGTTTTTAAAGAGTACAAGAGGAGATATCGTCCGAGTATTGCAATTATTGTTGAACCACGGATTAGTGGTAGTAAAGCACTGCAAGTGGTGGGGAGCATGGGCTTTGATAAGTTTCTCATCGTGGATGCTGTAGGGTTCTCGGGAGGCATTTGGCTGGCTTGGGACTCGGGTATGGTTTCTATTTCGGAAGTGGACAGATCTTCACAGGTGTTGCATGTCCAAGTGTCGACGGGGGAAGGTAGCTGGTATCTCTGGGCCATATATGCTAATCCGGCCTTGGTCCAGCGACGTGAACTCTGGCATTGGATTAGGGAGCTGGCGGTGTCGGTAGCTGATCCGTGGCTTTTAGTTGGTGATTTTAACTCCATTTTAAACCAGGCGGATAAGTCAGGTGGGGCAACTTTTGATGCTAGTCGAGCGAGAGAATTTCAGGATTGCGTATTGGATGCGGGTTTGGTTGATCTTGGTTTCTATGGACCGCCGTTCACCTGGTTCAAGAGGGGTGTGAAGGAACGGTTGGACCGAGGACTGGCTAATTCGGCTTGGAGGGATAAATTCCCGGAGGCGACAGTGAGACATTTGCCGAGGATGAAGAGCGATCACAGGCCGATTCTTGTTAATCTACGACCTACTTTCCAGCCTGGTGGTCCGAAACCCTTCAAATTTTTGGCAGCTTGGCTAGTTCATGAGGGCTTCAATGAAATGGCTAGTCAGGCGTGGGCCAAAGGGGTGGATTTTCTGTCGTCGGTGGCGGAGTTTGTTGAAGAGGCAAAGAAGTGGAATGCAGATATATTTGGTAACATTTTCAAGAGAAAGAATGAATTGCTTACTAGGATTGAGCGGTTGGAGTCTCGGTTTGGTGGGGACGCGGAGCACGAGCCTCTGCGCCTAGCAAGACAGGAGCTAGAAGAAGTGCTTTTACAAGAAGAGCTTTTGTGGTGTCAGAAGGCCCGTTTGGAGTGGATAGTCTCAGGAGACAGGAATACGAGGTTTTTCCACTCCAGAACCATGAATCGACGCAGGAGGAACAGGATAACGGCGTTAAAGAATGGCGCGGGTGAGTGGGTGGATGATCAAGATCAGCTCCTTGTCCTAGCAAGGGACTTTTTCTCGGGTCTGTACACTGATGATGGGGCTCCTGCCAGCTTCCTAGTACGAGCCTTTCAGGAGGTACCGCCTACCCTATGGAGTCCGCTCGACAGGGAATTTACGCCGGAGGAAATCCACCAAGCTGTCAAACTTATGGGCGCATTGAAGGCACCGGGAAAGGATGGTTTGAATCCTCTCTTTTATCAACGATGCTGGGACTTTGCTGGTTCCGCAGTGGTGGATTTTGTGAAGTCTTGCTGGCAGGTCCCGTCGCGTGTCAAAGAGGTGAACGACACCATTGTGGCTCTTATACCGAGAGTCCAAAGTCCCTCCCAGATTGAGCAATTCAGACAGATTAGCCTCTGCAATGTGGCTTATAAAGTGATTACGAAGTGTTTAGCTGAGCGGCTCAAGCCTCTTATGCCGAGTTTGGTGCATGCCACTCAGACGAGTTTCGTCCCGGGCAGGCATATAACTGACAATATTTGTATTTTGCAGGAAGTAGTCCATTCGATGCAGGCGAAGAAGGGGAAGGAGGGGTGGATGATTCTCAAAATCGATTTGGCTAAAGCCTACGACAGAATCAAGTGGAGCTTCGTACAAGATACGTTAGAAGCTGTTGGGGCTCCAGGGAAGTTCGCGGACCTGACTATGAGCTGTATTTCATCGGCCAGGATGCAAATTCAGTGGAATGGGGGCCTTACTGAAGCTTTCTCGCCTTCACGCGGACTACGGCAGGGATGCCCTCTTTCCCCATATATTTTCACGTTGTGTATGGAAAGGTTGGGCCACCTGATTGATGCGGCTGTGAGTGCAGGAGAGTGGAAGCCTATCTGTTTGTCCAAACATGGGCCGAAGCTATCACATTTATTTTTTGCTGACGATCTGATCCTGTTCAGTGTAGCTTCTATGCAGCAGGTGCAGGTAATTCTGAGATGCTTAGAAGAGTTTGGGATGGCATCCGGACAGTCGGTAAGCAAACCTAAATCGAGGGTGTTCTTCTCGAAGAATGTCTCAGGCGGGGAAGCCGCTTTGCTCAGCGATACCCTTGACATTCCAGTGACCAGCAACCTAGGTCGCTATTTGGGTGTCCCAGTGATTCATGGACGAGTTTCGAAGGCTACTTATAACGGTCTCATAGACCGAATTGATGCCAGGCTTGGAGGGTGGAAGGCGAACTCGTTGTCTTTGGCAGGTCGGATAACGCTGGCTCAGTCAGTCCTCTCATCTCTTCCAGCCTACACGATGCAGACTGCTCTTTTGCCGGCCTCAGTCAGGGATTACATAGATAAGAAGATTAGATGTTTCATTTGGGGGAGTTCTGAGCAGGGGAGGAAAATACATCTTGTGGATTGGGATTCGATGTGCAAACCCAAGGACGAGGGGGGATTGGGGCTGAGGACTGCTACGAAGATGAACGAGGCGTTTATGCTGAAAATTGCGTTGAGACTGTTCACTGAGCCAGAGAGCCTATGGGCACAGGTGGTTCGAGGGAAATATCTAAAAGAGATTGATGGGGCGCTGCAACCCAGGAGAATCGGACGGTTGTCGAATTTATGGAGGGGAGTGCTCAGAGTGCTAGAGTACTTGCCAGAAGGTATGATGTGGAACGTGAGAAGTGGCATGCAGACTCGGTTCTGGCAAGACAGATGGCTCCAAGATGGGCCGCCGTTGGAGGAATTTGCAGTTGAGCTTCCGGCTGCAGTGAGGGAGTTGAGGGTCGCGGAACTCATTCTTAACGGGGACTAGAACTGGCCGTTCATCCAAGCTTTCCTCCCGGATGCTATGGTTCTACATCTACGACTTCACCCGGTGCCGCAAGGAGTTGAGAAGGACGTCCCTATTTGGCGGTTCTCAGAGTCGGGGAAATTCACGATTCGGTCAGCCTATGATCTACTAAGAGACAATGAAGAGGAACAAATCCGCCAGCCAACTTGGAAAGCCATTTGGAAGCTTCAAGCTCCCCAACGAACGCGTACCTTCCTCTGGTTAGTACTGCATGGTAAGCTCCTAACTAATGGTGAGCGGTGTAGGCGTCATCTGGCGACGTCGAACGATTGTCCGGTATGTGGGGGAGGACCGGAAACTGTGGTCCACGCAATTCGGGACTGCTCCTATGCTCGAGCGGTCTGGTCGGAGATTTTGGCAGACGAGCCGGATGAAGTGTTCTTTCAGGAGGACTTAGCCAAGTGGCTTTTGCACTATATATCGGGTAAGAGTTCTAACATTACCCCGATGCTGTTCACTGTTACGTGTTGGCAAATTTGGAAGAGTAGGAACCTGCGGGTGTTCGAGGAGAAGATGACATGGCCGGAACAGTTAATTCGGCGAGCTAGGCTATTCAGCGAGCAGTGCGAGGCGGGCTTTGAAAAAAGGAACAGCGTAGTGGAAGGTGGCAGGAGCGTCGAGCAACAGTGGATTAGCTGGCAGCGTCCCCCTACAGGCTGGGTTGGCCTTAATACGGACGGGTCAGTGATCTTAGCACAAGGGAGATCGGCGGCAGGCGGTGTGATCCGAGACAGTGAAGGTCGTTTTCTGGTGGGATACATGATCAATCTAGGGGGAGGCTCTATTACTAGTGCCGAGTTAGCAGGGATAGCTCAAGGGCTGCACCTTGCTTGGGAACGTGGATATCGGAAGGTAGCAGTGCAGACGGACTCTTCGACGGCAATCTCACTCATCCATTCTGCAGAGGCTGCTCATCCTCATTACACTCTGGTTGCTTATATCCGCCGGCTTATTGAGCGAGATTGGGAGGTCTCCTTGAGCCATGTGTTCCGGGAATCGAACTTTGTGGCTGATCATTTGGCGTCGGTGGGTCATCTGCTGTCGGTGGGAACCCACATGGTGGACTATCCTGGAGCTGAGTTGCGATACTGGTTGTATTTTGATACTATTGGGGTCCAAACCCCGCGTTTTGTAGCCACTTAAGGGTTTGAGCGCCCCTTTGCGCTCTGTTTCCTACAAAAAAAAAAAAAAGAGAGAGTGGGAAGGTCTAATCACCAAAAAGAGCAATTGGGATATTATAGAAAAATTAAAAATACTCATTTGAAATTAATATTATTTTTAGTATTTAATGAAATATGAAATTAAAACAGAAAATTTTAATTAATATTTTAAAGTTTTACAAAATAAAAATTCAAAATAAACAAATGTGTCGTCTTGCAATGACATTATTAATGTATTTCAATGATATTGTCAATGTTAATTAAATGAATTAGTATTGATATGTTTCATCATTATTAACGATTTCAATATACTTATCAATGTTTTAATGTTACATTATTAATGATTTTACATCAATTGTTAGCTTTTTACATGTTTTTCATCAACGCTCATGAATGAATTGTTAAAGTTATGTCACATCATCATAAATACATTATTAATGATTTACAACATCTCTTTGTTAATAATTCATGTTTTTACGTGATGTTCATAACTAGCCAATCATGACTTCCAACGACAATGTCAACGTTTTGCGATCAAATAATATCTCTTTAGATTGTCATTCTCAACAATCATAAAAGTACAACACTTATGATCACCCTCTTCTACGCTTGTTACATACTGCGCTTTTGATTCAATTAAGCAAAACATTAGTTCATGGAGGTGTAAACAAACCAACATTCACACTCCAACACCAAACCGTTAATAACAATACAAGAAGTCATTGAAAAGAAATTGTATTTCGTTAAAAAAATACAAAAATATTAATAATGTTGAAGTTCTAAACTATAATTATAATTTAAAATGTTGGTATGAACTTGCATAATTTATACTGAACTTCTATTTAACGCCCTATGTTTTTGTATTTAGC